AATATATATATATATATACATATCATTAAATGATTTCTAATTAGTAATTATCATTAAATGATTTTTAATTAGTAATTCTATTTGGAGAAGATTTTTTTTTATTTCAAATTTTCATTCAAATTTAAAAGAAAATTTGAATAGAATATTAAAATGATTTATGCATTTTTTGATTTTAAATAATATTTAACAGTAATGTAGAAGCAACGAAAAAAAAAAAGAAAGCTAGTCAAATATTATAATTAATTCGAAATATGATAATAAATTAATTAGTGATTTGAGGATGAAGGTAAGAATCGATCGCCAAGTATTGTCAATTTTAATGAAGGTGCTGTACGTTTGCTTCCAACAATGCCGAATGATTCGCGATATATACATGCAACGCAGATTAACATTCCTTCTGGCAATTTTATCATTGCACAAGTAAGTTCTTGTGTAGATATGCACCGAAAGCTTAATGAAAGCTTTGCTGTGATTGTGAAGTTTAAATAATAATAGTAATAGTAATAATAATAATAAAAATAATAATAATAATAATAATAATAATAATAATAATAATAATAATAATAATAATAATAAAATATCAGTATGATTAATTGGGCAGAAAAGTACGAAATGCTTTAAATTTCTATCCACTTAATGGAATTAGTTACAGTTTGAATGGGAGAACATTGCAAAATATTAGCAAAGACCGTCTATCGTAGTAGCAAAATCCAAAAAATTTAAAGTTCAAAAATAATAATTCCTATCAATTTGAAAATGAATTTTAATTAAAATCTTTGAAATATTTGTTCATTAAATATTGATAAGATTAGGCTGGGCTTGTTTTTTACTCATTATGCTACCATCCTAGCGGATTACCGGTTAAGAAGCATTGGAATTGATGGCATGCCATTGAGACATCAACAACTTTTCCATTAGATCATTTTTGCTTATCTGTGGATTCATATACTTATTTTCTAGGTCACATTTATTCGTGCTATCTTTCTTTTTTTTTCTCAAAAAATGATTGTGAAATTTCCTTAGAATGGAATGTTTCATCCCAGATTATTCTAAGCTAATCAATATCATATCATTCAATAGCTCATAACTACCGGATTATTTTCTCATAAAGATTGAGCGGGAAATATATATTGCTTTCTTTTTTTCTATTTTAGTTGTTTCATTTTAAATTTAAATTTCCAATAAAGATTGAAATCCATTCTAATATCTTATTGAATGTTCGTTGGCAATTCATCTGAGTCAGACAAAACTTTCATTTTTTAAATTCTACGTAAGACAAATTTTAGCTAAATAACTAATTGATATTTACTATTCTCATATTTATTTCATTCTCATTCTAATCAAATTTTCCTGAAGTTATCTTAAATGAATAAATTTTACAGGGTCCAACAGAACAATCATTGATCGATTTCTTCCGAATGCTTTGGCAGTATCATGTTTTATTAGTGATTTGTCTGGAACCATTTACTGATCATAAAACTTGCTATCCATATTTCAGTTTGAAAAAACAGCAAGTAGTTAAGGTCAGTTAAATCAAACTGAATTTTTTTATCACTATGAATGATAAATTAATGATTAACTTATGAGTATTTTAATATTTAGGCAATGGAAAGGATTTCTCTGGAGACTCAAAAAATTACAGAAACATCAGTGGCAAATTTAATTGTTTACGAAGCTGTACTTATGAATATGGAAATTAAAGATGATAGTAAGTTGATAAAATTTTTTATCTAAATAAAATGATTCCGGTTTATCGTCCAGAAAGCTATTCATCAATTAATCATTCTATTCTATGATATTAATTAGGTTGAAAATTTAGGAAAGAATAATGTTTTCAATATTAGCAATTTTTATGTGTCCAGAATTGATTTAATACTAAAAATATTTGTTAGGATAAAAAAAATACTTATATAGTAAGCTAAATATTCATAATTATTACTGGACAATCTTTCTAGCTTCCGTAATCTTGCGATCGTTCTAAGAACTTCCCGTTTATTTGATGACGTAGTCTTGCGATCGATTTATGAATCTCCCATTTATTTGATGACGTAGTCTTGCGATCGATTTATGAATCTCCCATTTATTTGATGACGTAGTCTTGCGATCGATTTATGAACTTCCTGTTTATTTGATGAC